CACTGAAAGTCTAATGCAACAGTCTGTCACAACCTTGTGTTTTTTGTCCCCTTGTCAGTCTTCCCTTTCTTTCTGCCAGTCACAGAGCTTGGCAACTGCTGCTGGTCTCATAATAAGTTATCAGGGACGCTGGACACGTTTTCCAGCAGGTGTTATCCCCGCCAATAGATTGGAGTCATCTGCAAGGTTGGTAGGGATGAGTGCTCGTATCACCACCCCCACCAGCGGATGTGGATGTTAAAGAGAGAGGGGAAAAAAAAGAAAAAAAGAAAAAAAAAAGGGTTAGAGAAAAAAAGGTGGTATCATTGTTCGTGAATGTTGGTGAAAAATTGTAATCGTTAATCAATTTTGTCTGTTGACTCCTTTACAGACAAGCCAACAGATAACCATTGATACCATCGATCTCCCAGCTTTTTTTTCAACTTCTTGGTCTTTTAAGAATCAGCCTCATCAGGCCCTCGTGTGCCTGTGCAAACTCTCGACTAGTCCAAGGAATTTTGCCCCACAGTAATCCGTTTGAACGTTTAAAAAAACTTTAAATACATTCTGCTCATATTTCAATGTACAAGTATTACATAAATGATAAATCCTAAGTCTCCAATTAAGTGGGGCTTATTAGAGAATCCTTTTCCTCCTATCCAACGTATATATAGCTTGGCTAGCCTACCTCTTTCTCTGGTGTCGATCGAGGCGAGTTAGCGGAATTTCCCAGTTTCGAAATCGGATATTATATTATGAAAGCTTCATTCTGTTATGCCTGGTGGTGGAAACAAGTGGGCATTGGGTGGCTGTAGTGGTAGAATGTATTAGAAAACCTTGAAAAATAAATTTGGATTTTTTTTTTTTTTTTTTTTTTTTTTTTTTTTTTAAATTCCACCTGCGTCAACAGCTAGTGGGGTGATGGTAAGAGCATACACTCCTCTCACCTGTCTTGCAGAGGGGAAAGGAAAACAAATTCTGAAAAGCTGCAAATTACCACGTGGGATAATTCTGCCATCACCTGACAATGGACCCAATACATGACGTTTCGCTAAATTTGAGCTCTTTTTTTCATGTGCCGAAATTGAGCTTCATTTTTTTTTGTTCAACCATTTTTGGGACATTTTTTCATCCTGTGAGGCGCCACATGATGTACCATCTTACCATGGAAGGGTATTGTGGTTTCATCGTCCTCAAATGAGCATATGCTCATGTGGACGTAAAAGTGACTAGATACATCCAAGAGACTGTCTTGAGAACATCTAAAATGAATGTACGCTACGGCGTCCACGCTGTATGCTGAACATAAGTTGTCCCCAGGATGTAACATGCTCATTCACGGAAAGTTTGGAATTTGGCCCAAATCAGGGCCATGCGAAAAAAAAAAAAAAAAAAAAAAAAAAAAATCTCAATTTTAACGAAATCATCGAAATGTCAGTTCAAACTTACAATGATGATTCTGCTGACAGAACCAAGGAAGGATGAGCATTCCCAAGGAGCCCAAAAAAAGAAGAGAAAAGAAAAGAAAAACCTTGGGTCAGCCTGCACACAGACTGGACTCTGGAGGCCCTGACTTTTTGCACCGACTTGAACGCGACTTCTATTATTTGAAAGGAAAGGCAAAGGCAAGGTAAGAAGACAATTGTTTACAATTTGATGATATGATACAACAATAGTCCCAATACACATGGCGAACGAACCGTAGTCAAGGCAAAGCAGGACCAAATATTCCGGGGGTTGTGACTCCAGGGGATGCCCAGGGATTATTAATAGAATATTCATTATCCAAAAAAAAAAGTCCAGTAGGGTCAGAACATAATTATGCGCCTCACTAAAGATGATATAGCCCAGAGGAAATAAATGTTGTGGAGCACCTGTTTTTTGCAGTCACGGTGAGGGCATTAATACCTGGCTGTCCACCGAACGGGATTACAAACCTGACACAATTCATAACTGATCAATCAAGATGTCGACTCCCGGGGCTGTACGATACACACTGGACAGGCCTAGCTCAGTTGATAGAGCACGCAAGTGCCATTCAGGAGGTCGTGGGTTCGATTCCTGCCAGCCCCTCTATGGCGCGCTTCGGGTTCTGTGGTGCACTTTGGGTACACCAGCTGAGATAGTTGGCTTGCACCCCCCGCTGGTTGGTCTCGATAGGTAGGGGCTTTGCCTTCTTCCCTTCCATCCCTGGCTAGGGGTTATAGGCTCAACCCTGAGGGGATAGGTTCAGCCCATGCTACTGGTAGTAGGTTCACCCCCCCCCTAGTCTAAGTGAGCTTGGGTAGCCTGGGTAGGTAGGTAGGTAGCGTGAGGTATATTGCAACAAGAATATCGCTTAGGAAAAAGAAGAAGAAGAAGAAGAAGAAGATACACATCTAGCAGGCAGTGACCGATAGATCACAAGTTTGGACCCTCCATCAAGAGGAGCAGTAAAATGTGAGGATTGAGCCCTCAAGAAGGGGCCTTGCCATGATGTACATGTTCTGGGCTAAGGCCCCAGCAAGCCTAGTGCCCTCCCTAAGTGAAGGCGGGCCAGCAAATCAACAAGAGCCCTCTGTGCAAACATTTCCTGAAGTCGGGGTCCATACAGTTGCAGCACGCCAGTTGGTTGGAGTGCACCGAGTCTCGAATCTCTTCAAATGTGGAGATCCCAGGGCCTCTGAGTTAGTTAGGCCCTGGGCACTTGAACGTGAGGCCGACAATGCATGTTGGGTATAGAGGCCGAAAATGCCAAAGGGAAATCGGCCCACTATCTGAATCTGGCCACAGGCCTTGATGAAAGAGGCGCAACTGCATTGCCCCGGGCCTCAACTGTATCGGGCTGGGTTCAGCCACTGGGGCCCAGTCGCAGGCTGAAGGGAGGCTGCCCACACGCAGCACTTGCATATAGGCAAGCAGGGCGAGTGGGCAGGCATCTTTGGCCAATGCGGGCATTGCCGGCACGCTGCGCGAATGCGAGCAGCTGCTCTGCTGTGCTGCGCTAGGCGGAGGTGAGAGACAGGCATGCGCTAGGCGGTAGGGCGCTGCCTGTGGGCGCAAGGCACTGGCGGCCATAGCCGGGCTGCCTGTGTGCGCAGAAGAGGTGAAGGCGAAGGTGGTTCTTCGGAGGTGAAGGGCGCTGTGTGGGTAACAAGGGAGAGTGTGGGTGAAGAGGACACGTACCTGGTGGAGGTGGAGGTCGGCATTGGTGTTGACATCATCACTCGCTGGTAGTCAAGTTGTCTGGTTGCTTTCATTGCTGTAGTTGTAGGCTTAGTCTGTAGAGTAGATAGGGCGCCTGGCGCCATTCACAAGAGAGAGCTACATTGGGTTATGCTGTTGGTGTTGCCCTGTTGGGCTTGGACATTGACTCACGATTCTTCTGTATCATTCTCAATTGGATTGTTACTCGGTTCCATTGTGCTATCTGCTCTGGCTTTGACTACTTGGACTTCAGTGTGATTTTTCATTCTGGATTTCTGTGCTTCGTCCATACTCATGTTCCTTGCAAAAAAAAAAAGAACGGTAAAACCGTAAAAAAATTCCAAGAAAAGCTGTGCACTGTTCCCACTTCCAAAGACTGCCACAATTTCGCTTCGACTAAATTGACAGGGGGGAAAAACAAAAAAACTTAAAAAAGAGAAAAAGTTGAAAAACAATATTCAGGGACTTCCCTGCAGAGAAAAGCTGGCTTGATCATCTTCTCTTTGGCCGACCGTATCTGAATCTTCACTCTGATTGTGTGTCAGATACGTTACAGTATACTGCAAAATGCTGACTCATTATGCTGACGATCAGCATGAAAATATGAATGAATATATGAATACTACATGCATACGACCTTGTGTGTTGCAATAGCCGTAGTTGAACCACTGCTACAGGACTGAGGTCCCACTTATCCAGATTGTTCATTTTCACCCCATCATTTTTTTCCCGATATCAATGGCCACAAACAAAGAGTTCGGGCAAGTGGGACGTGGCACGGGATTTGTGCAATATTTACGAACTTGAAAGCCGGCTTTTTTTAGGGGAAGGGGGGGCAGGGGGGGGGGGGGGGGGGAAGTGAAAGAGAAATCCTTGCGTAGCATGTCCGCCACAGAACGCAACACAATGATGACACACTGTTTGTGCCGCGCAGATGTAATCCCGCAATCATAATTAATGGGGACTAGATTTTCCTTTCCCTGACTGTCTGTAGACACCGTCATTCATACCTGTGTCCTTCCTCTCCATGCTGCAGCTGCTTGATCATCTTCTTTTATCCTGTTGATTATCATTTTTCCTTTTCTTTCCTTTTCTTTTCTTTTCTTTTTTTGTCAGGGAGGGGCCCACTGTTTTGGGTTCTATATCCTCTTGCATGCATTGTATGAGAAATGTGTTTGCCAAAAAAAGAAATGTGTTTGCCAACTTAGGGCATACTCACGCGAGGCCCTCAAAATCGCAAAATTGCAAAATCAACGGCAAGATCAAGACCTTGTGAAAGGAGTGGTTTTCTGGTTTTGAGGGCCTGGCTTGAGTATGCCCTTAGACTAGCAATGAGCCTGCACCCATGCACTGTTGAAATACAGACACAAGTTCGAGTCCGGATGTAAATATTAGACGAACAGAGTAAAATTATTCTGAATTACCTCGGGGGCCGGTCAGTTCAGTGATGATATCTGGTGTAGCTATTTATAGATCTCTTCATCTGGGCCCAAGCCAAGGCCCTCTTCCGTGCAAGCACGGATTCGAGCCAGCGACCTCGGCCTCAAGAGCCAAGTCTCTTAACCACTACAGCCAGGACACGGTGTTCGAAAGTGGGGACCATACCGATTGCGATATCCACCCCACCCCTGCAAGGCTGTAGTGTCCAACCGACACACGCCGCCCACGCCCACGACACCACACGCACGCACCACCCACACAGCCCTGGCAATCCTTGCGCACTTTGCTCCAATCGGCACGTGTGACCCCACTGGTACCCAGCCTGCCCACGCACACTTCGCTCCACTGTTTGACACGTGTTCTACCGTTGCTGAAATTTTGTTATTGTTGGACAGGTACTCAAGGTGTGGAGAGGCAGACCATATTTGGCGGGATGTCATGCAGCTTAAGAAGGTGTGTCAGAACACTCACAAAATGAAAGGGAAGGGAATAAAATTCAATAAATGCACCCATGCGTCTTTAACTTACTGTCATGTGGTAGTGTGTGTGTGGGTGGGCACATCATCTGCACATGGTCTTTGTTGTTTAGGTGTCTCGCGCACTGCGTACGACAGCGTACGCAATTCAACTCAGAGAGTGTACGGTGGAACCGGTGGAATCATTAGGACCTCTTTTCCAATGGTGCAGAGGGCTCGGCTCGTAGTACCTAGTACCACACTTCGAACCTACCGGCAGAGGGGGAAGGACCTTCCCCATTTAGGTTCGTCGATTTAGGTTCGTTGATTTAGGTTCGATTTAGGTTCGATTTAGGTTCGAAGTGTGGTACTCGGCTCGTAGTACCGAAGATAGAAAAGAAAATGAACTTCGAACCTGAATCGACGGACTTGGACCCGACGGTAACTGATCCAGTTACCTGGTCCAGTTACCTGGTCCAGTTACCTGGTCCAGTTACCTTTGGCAGTTACCGGGTCCAGTTACCTTTGGCTTTGGCAGTTACCATCGGGTCCAAGTCCGTCGATTTAGGTTCGAAGTTCATTTTCTTTGGCAGTTACCTGGTCCAGTTACCTGGGGCTAGGTCCCACTTGCAGGAATTTAGGTTGTTGCAAGTGGGACCTAGCCCCAGGTAACTGGACCAGGTAACTGTCAAAGGAACCAACAGAATGCTTGTACAGAAGATAGAAAAGAAAATGAAAACACAGGTGCAACCGTGCAATCTCACGAACTTGCAGGCGGATTTACTGTAGAACAAACAGCAAACACTGCCAAACAGAACACGTGTGTGATGGCGGGGACGTGGCGTAGACGCTTTTCATCATGGGGGCCTGAAAAGTGGTGTTTTTTTGGTTTCTTTTTGTTTTTTTGTCGTTGTCTCTTCACCAAACAGTTTTGTTTGGTTTGCTGGGCCTCATTCGTCGGATGAATTTCTTTCTATTTTTGCATCGATCCCAAGCAGGTACGTTTCCAGACCCAAGGGAAAAGAGGGGATGAGAACAGTACCCTGTGGACTGTGAACAGTGACAAATTATTACGTCACAAAGAAATTATGAAATAGGAAAAACGGGACAGAAGGAAAACAGTCCTTCTGAATTGCCTTTTGGGAGCGCTTTTATTTGGCCCCTGGCTCCCTGCAGGTGTCACGACACAGGAGAGGGTGCACAGTCATCCTCTCTCTCTCTCTCTCTCTCTCTCTCTCTCTCTCTCAGCGGGAAAAAAAACAGGCACGGCCGCCTGCTCTTCCTCCTCATGCCGCCTTCTCCACCTGTCCTCGACCTGGCATCCCCTGCTCTGGGCCCACCTCCTCCTCCTCCCCCATCTTGTCTTCCTCGCCCAGGTCCTCCGCATTGACCACATCATCATCTTTCCCCTACTGTTGCCTCTCTTCCGCCACAACATGCTGCTCCCCCTCCCCGTCTCCCTGCTTCTCCTGCTTGCTGTCCTCCACCTCCTCTTTCATCTCTGGTTCTCTTCCTTCCGGTCTTCATTCTCCCCCTCCTCGCTCCTCCTCCTCCTCCCGCCCGCCATCCTCCATCCTCCTCTTGCCCTTCCTCCTCCAGCTGTTCCTCCTTTTGCCGTCGTCGTCCTCCCGCTCCTCCTCCTCCTTTTCATCCCGGTTCCCCATAACCGCCTCCTCCCTCTCCTCCTCCCATTCGTCGTCCTCCTCCTATCGCTCCTCCTCCTGTTTGTCATCCTTCCTCCTCCCCCACAGAGCATTAACAAGATCCCAGCGCAAGAGAAGAAAAGAAAAACGGTCGCATCTGGTGCATAAAACCGTCCACGTACATGTTGACAATCGACTTGCCCACATGTTCAATGTTCAGTACTAGCCCTGGGCCCTCCTCCTCCTCCTGCTCCTTTTCCTCCCGAGTCCACTCAAGCACCTTCTTCTCCTCCTCCTGGTCGTCATCCTCCCCCTCCTCCTTCTCCTCCCCCCCCCTGTGAGGAGCAACAGCTTTCGAGGTTCCGACAAGCGCTGCAATTCGTGCTCCTGGCCCGAGCGAGAAAACGCCAAAAAGAAGAAAGAAACGATGCAGGGGGGAAACGAAATCTCGGAGCAGAAAACGACAAAAAACAGAACCAACCCGAGCCGGCAACAAGAGACGAAAGCACCCCAAGACATTCACCACAGCCGGACTAGAGGTCTCGCCGCACGGCACACGAAACGAAAACGAAACGAGCGCATCTGCCCACGAAAGGTGGCAAAATACACTCGTTACTATTTATAGTCAACCGATGAACCTGGCCATTTTCTGCAGGAAGATGCACTCGTTTCGTTTTTCGTTTCGTGTCCCGTGCGGCGACGCCCTAGAGCTTGTGACCTGCCTGCTACCAGTTCGGTTTCCTCTCTTCTTCTCATGTCAGTCACGTAGGAATCTCCGATGTGCTTGTGTTTGAAAATCTGTCCCCGTGCGGCGCAGTGTCCACTGTCCAGGTGCGCGGGACTTGGAGCTCTCAGCCTTGTTATGAATGATCTCAATGGATCGCACGAAGGAATTTTTTTTTTTTTTTTTTTTTTTTTTTTTTTTTTTTGATTGACCGTGTGTGAAATGATGGGTGAGCATTGTCTGTAAGGTTTAGGGCAACAGACGTGAATGAACATCATTCACTCGGTTATATCTGTATTCAGTGGAATGTCTGGACTTTTTTGGTTTTGCCTTTGGTAATCATAATTCAGTAGTAGGTTATAGAGTACAACATAGTGGTACTGTAGATTATTAACATTACATTTAAGAGCGACCACGAGTGAGAACGGAGAGTATAATTCGATGTTCTTTGTAGCACTGGTATTTCAGATTTATATCTGCAGCTGGAAGAAAGCCGGGCACAACATCTTGCGAGAGTAGAGCGTCAATGAGCTTGGGCAAAGCGATTTCATTTGCTTTCTTTGTCCAATTCTTGATTTGTTTGGAGTTGTGCAAGCAAGGGTGTTTTTGGAGCTGCAAAGTACGCTGGCAAAGAGGGCGTGGTTTGGCGTAAGTTGGATGGTTTAGATATTTTGGTGGGTGGTTTGCAGTCAGCTGCATTTGGTGAGTTCTGCACGGAAAGACTATTGTCTGGTGGTGCTGTGTGGGGACACGTTGATGTCGCAAGGTGTGAGAGTGAGGGATGGGACGCTGGGCCCGGTTTCTAGCACGTGCTGCTCCCCACGAAGAGATTGGAGCATTTGTCCCAAAAAAAAAGAAAAAGAAAAAAAAAAGAGTGAGGGGTGCCTTTACTACGATTGAGAGGAAGAGGATCAAATTGATGTCATCATCAAATATAATTTATCTACCAATGGTGTAGGTGATGGAAGGGGCTATGTGAGCAGGCTGCAGGAGTTGATTTTGTACACAGGAATTTTGTGCCGTGCATGGGTGTGTTAATGGTTTCGAATCTTTCGATTGAAGAATGGGGCTGCTGCTGCGGTGGAGCCGTAATGTGAAAACGTTTCCTATGATTGCACAAGTGGATTCAGGTTGATCTTTGGATTCCAATTGATTGTGATTTTTGGAGACAGGAGTGGCCTTTGGTTCGAGCTGTGGAACGAGAAAGGTGATCTTCTTCCGTGTTCACATGGTGCGAGTTTGATTTTTGTGCAGCCGGGGTTTGTGTTTCATTTAGACGAGTGTGTGTCAATGGTATCGACAAAAGAACTGCTTTGAGATGGTGAAACAACGGTAGTATGTTCGATTATGTCTAGAGCATGGGAATCGTGTTGGCTTGTGGATCCAAAAGCATTGTGATTGGAGGGAGGTAGAGTGGTTGTGTGATTGGTTGGATGTCTGGATTCCTCAATTTGATGTTCTTGTGTGTTTGCATGGGGCGACTCTGAAGACTGTCGTGACACCCGAAATAGCTTTTTTTTGCAGACGCTGATCACGGGCACTGCTTGTCTTGGCTTGTATACGTCCTCTTGTACTTGTACGTTGGTTTGGGTGCATTGTCAGTCTCCAGAATCACATCTTAGTTTCTTTGCAAAACCTTTTTTTGTAAATGACATTCTGTGTTCTTCTGGAGCTGTCAGGCAGGCAAACATGTACTACATCAGATGGATGGCCTTTACGGCAGAGTCCAATATACAGTTGCCCGTGAGAGCAAACAGGCTTGTGCAATGAGTGCCCGCATGGTCCAGGATTACTCAACTATGCTAGAATGATCGAGGCGTTCCGGCACGCTGTGCACGGAATGTGCAGTTGGAGGACAAGATTCCAGAAAACTAAAGTGACTTCGACAGTGTAACACGATTGCGGCAACGTGGCATCATCATCTACACATCAGCACCACACCGATCCATAGATTTGATCGCATCTCTCATACATTCAGATTCACACTTCCTCCCATTCATCCATATACCACATCCGTTAGCACCCAATATCGTAATCGACACGCTCCTTTCTTCTTCATCCATATACCACAACCATTAGTCATTCAACGTGAGCAGCACAACCACAACGTTAGCAGCCCAACCATAGATAAATTGCAGGCGACTTTACACCGCAAGACTGAAACGAAACGAACACTGACACGTCATCGATCAGGCGACAGCCGTGTACCAACTTCCTGTCTGCCCCCAGTGCATTCAGGAACGAGTACTCGCAGTGGGCACACAGCACGCAGGCCAGAGCCGGGCTGTTGCTTTTTCCCATAGGGATACCCTCCTTCTGCTGCAGGATCGTCGTGGCCGCCTTCAGAAACGTATTGGCCAAGTCGTACTTAACAAATTTCAGGATTATACCGAATGACATCGTCACCCAACCGACTTCGCCTCCCGCCTTCCCAAATGTCGCTCCTTTCCCTCTCGTCTTCACCCGTACTCGGCTCAGTCCCCTTTCTTCATACCTCGATGATGAGCCACTCCACCGCCTCGATTATGGCCTCGTGCGGTAACTTGGAGAACATATCCTTTATGTCGAAACTGGCTGCAATCAATCCCCGTCGCTTCGTTCTCCCTACAGTCTTGTTAATGGCCACGACAC